TCCTCATCAAACAAAGCCTGGGCGAGGACGCCGGGGTTGTTGCGCGAAGATGTGTGGAATGCAGCCGGCAGATCGTTCTCCTTCTCGTCAATCTCAGCAATGTTGAGTGAGGGGTAGTCAAAGTCATCCTCTTGCGAGTTCAACGACTTGACCAGCCCATTCGACGTGCGCTTGGTCCCTTGTGTACTTGCCCCAATGGCGGTTTTCATCTCGTTCCCTACAGGACGCGTTGACGATGTCTTTGACCCGGTGCGATTGAAGGCGTTTCCGAGCGAACCCTGCTTGTAGGCGTTGTTTGGGGGTGATGTAGACGCGATGGCATTGTGGTTCTGCACCGCTGACTTGAACATGGTAGCCGTCGTGTGCGGGCGAGTGAAGAGGTAGCCGAAGTAGTGGCGGGGTGGTGTTGTGGGCGAAGCCGTCGGCGGCTGCAGGTGTGATGTCGAGAAACGCGTACGCGGAAGGTGCGTGAGGGACCGTGTTGGAGGCGAATGCGTCCGAGCGGGATGTGGGATGCAAAAGAGCGGCGACCGTTTCGGATTGTACGGTTTAAGCGACGCACCTCTCTTCCCGAGGGTGGCAAGCATACAGCAAATAAAGCGAGCGCCGACAAAAGAAAGGATTACCGAGATGATGTCGAGTGTGTGCATGCCATCCGGCGCGGTGGGGTGTGAATGTTAGCATCAATTAGCGGACGGGCCCACAAAACGCGACACGACGTCTCAATGCGGATGCGCTAAAACAGTACGTCACGTGCCGTCATCACAACGGTGTTTCTGCGGTGTATCTGAAAGCTTGATGGAACATGCAGGATCCCAGGCACCTTGACGCAGGTACGGGATTTGACTGCCTCTAGGCGGCTCTATGACGTACTGGTGCAGACCTCACTTTGGCGGGAATACGTCTTGTATGCTTGCGGCTTCAGTGCCTCGTACCATTCTATTACGTCTCCATCACCATCAGTACTACCATCTAGTCCACAGTATAGTATACTATCCAAAGTCATACCGCGACGACCAGCGCGCGCCACAAGAAATCCACTTCTGGTATCATAAGAACTCGCTTTGGTATCAAGAAGAGAATTCGCTGGTATCAAGGAGAAGATTCAACGTCATAATAGATAGTGAAGGGGTAATCAGAGCCGAGGCCTGAAGCAACAGAAAACTAACACGAGATAGGAGATTCATTTTGAACCAAACGACCGTGAACCAGATCCCACAAGAAATGTACCAGCCATGCCATAAGACAACAACGCTTGCACCATTTTGGACAACGGAATTAATAACGACTCCCTAAGAACATAAAACCGAGTAGCTGATGAAATATGACCAGAAATCGGAGCTATCCAAAACAGCGCCCCCGTAAGCAAACAGGCGTGTTGGGACAACAGAGGGCACAGCGCTGAAGAGACAAATCTAACAAACGAGGTGCTTAGCCCTGGTATCCTCCAAAGCCATTCTGGTTGAAGGCTGCCTGAGGAGATTGGCCCCATTGAGGTTGTTGGGGAGCGCCACGGCCGTAGCCGCCAGCGCTGCCTGGCTGCTGCATCTGCTGCTGGTAAGGCATGCCAGGGTTGCCAAAGGCTTGCTGCTGCTGCGCGAAGGGTTGTCCGCCGGGGCTGGGTCCTGCCCGCGCATTAGATTGCTTGTTTCGATACTGCAGCTTCCTCCGGTGCCGCTCACCTGAGGGTGACATGGGACCACCTTGTGGCCCACCACCATACTGAGGAAAGTACGCGCTTGGCGTCTGAGGATAAGCTGAGTTGGGCCCGCCCGCAGGCGAGTAACCCTCAAACTGGCCAGTCGGAGGACGGTCTTTGCCCCACTAGATTAAAAATGTGAGCTAAGAAATAACAAAAGAGAACGAATCAACCTACGCTGCACTTCAGAGGACGGCCGTTGACGTTGTAGCCGTTGAGTTGGCAGATGGCCATGGCAGCATTCTCATGAGTGTCCATCTTAATGAAGGCAAATCCGCGATCAGACTGGAAGCGGGTTTCGGTGACATAACCAAAGTTCTGGAAAAGCGGCACAAGGTCAGATTGAGAAGTGTAAGGAGTGAGGTTCCCGACGTAGCACGTGGTCTGCCACTGAGGAGTCTGAGCAACGACCATGTCGTAGCTCTGCACACCATGGGTGGGGAAATGGTGGTGTCCGAAGGGAGTAGTCGGCGTCATACCCATGGAAGCCATGGCCTGCTGCTGGGAAATGGAAGGCTGCCCTTTCTGGTTGGCCCAGTTGCAGCGGATAGCGCGAGAGCCAAGCCACTCTCCGTCCATAGAGCTGAGAGCGCGATCAGCATCGGCGCGATCCCTAAACGCGACGAATCCGTAACCACGCGACCTGCCCGTCTTCATGTCCCACATAACGCGAGCCTCGGAAACGGGACCAAAGGTAGAGAAAGCTTGGAGGAGAACCTCGTCATTGACTTCGTTGGAAAGGTCACCGACGAAGATGTGGAAATGGTTAGATGTGTCTTCCTTGGCTGTGTTGTTAGATTGGTAGGCCCAGTTAACACGAATTTCCTGTATCTGTCAGAACCGCCAGCACGTAATTGTCGGGCGCGCTTACGTTGTTGTGGATGCGGCGGCCGTTGAGGGTGGCCATACCACGCTCGGCGGCGCCAGGGTCATCATACTCGACGAAACCGTAGTTGAAGCCCTTGGAGTTGAACTGTTAGCGGTCAGCGGCACATGAATGTTGCAACACTTGCAAGATAAGCCCGGCCAGCTGTCAAGAGTTATGCAGCAGGTGCGGAGTGTTATCTTACAGAAGGAGAACTTGCAGTCTTGTCTGGAATAATCTTGACGCTCTGGACATGGCCAGTCGTCTCGAAGATCTGACGCAACACGTCCTCGGTGACCCGCGGGTCCAGTCCACCAACATATAGCGCCCGCTTGTTGGGCTCGGGGGCGGCGCGACGGGGGACGTAGCCAGGCTGGCCGCTGGTCGGGCTCATGGGGTTGCCCGACATGGGCGAGCTGATGGCGGTCGGGATGGGGTTGTTGTTCTGGGGGATGATGACGGGTGCAAGCGGCGGCGGCGGCATGTGCTGCTGCGGCTGGCCCTGGTTCTCGTAGCCGGGAGCGCCAGCGGAAGGGGGAGGAGGCAGCTGTGCCCCGGGGTTCTGCTGGTCGGCCATGGCTGCTGTCGCGGGGATGCGCACAAGAATCGAGTCGCAAGAGGCGCAATTGGCGGCGGCGGGTATCGAAGACGTCGGCGGTGATGCGACGGTCAGGGCGACGAGGCCACGGGGAGGTCGAGGCTGGCGGGCGGGGTGGTGGCAGCTGGGTAGGCGGCAAGGAAAGTCAGTATGGAAAGCGCGACTAAGGCTACCAATAGAGAGCGGACAGCACTAGGAAAGGCAAGGGAAAACAAGAGGAAGAGAGATAGGAGAGACGAGCGCTGCGCCGAGCTGTGACGGCAAAGCTATAATCTCCACTGTGGGGTGAAGAAGGAGAGGTGTGAGAGGTGAGCGGGCGAGTTCGAAGAATTAGCGCCGCAGGCCACAAGGCACCCGAAGGAGCGGGAGCTATGAACGTAGTACCGTACTGCCGCTAGCCCAGCCTGCTAGCGGACCCTCTTGAGGTCCCGCGCCGAACCCATCACTGACACACGGCCGTACCTTTGCCTAGCACCTGCATGCCCACCATGGCCACCGCCGTAAACTCCACTCAGCACCTGGACATGCTCCAGAGCATGCTCAATGCTGTGGTATGTCTGGTCACGTGCCTGCTGTTGCCACCACTAACATCTACAGTTCCTCCATTCTGGGCGCTTCCTCAAAGAGGAGCAGGCGGGCGGCGGCACCGGGCGCATGAGGCAGCAGCTGCAAAAGGTCGTGCCTTCCGCTACTGAGCGCTTTCACGATGCGCTCGACGAGCTCGAGAACGAGGTCCGCCTGGCGCAGACTGTCCTGCGCCGCGACATGGCGCTGCTGAAGCAGGACCGAAAGAAGAAGGAGGCCGCAGCGAAGCAGCACGAGGTCGAGAAGGCGCGACTGGCGGCAGAGGCGAAGAATGTCCCTGCGCCCGTCGAGGAAGAGCCTGTGAAGGTGGAAAAGGTTGCGACACCCGCAGCGCCCGAGCCAGCCGTGTCGCAACCAGAACAGGCGCCCGAGGCAGCGAGCGCAAAGGAGCCCGAGGCAGAAGAAGCCCCGAAGAAAGAAGACGACGCGAAAGACGCGAAAGCACCACCGCCGCCGCCCATCGAGACCGACGTCGAGCCCCCGAAAGACCCCCTCTTCGACGGCACGCCCACCACCGGCAACGCGCAAGAGTCCGAGTTCGACTTCGATGCCATGTTCGGCGACGCGATGGACACATCGGGCGACAACCCGCACCACGACATGATGGATACCTCGGGCGACATGGACTTTAACCTCGATGACGGCAACGACGGACCGTCGCTACTACGCGGTCTCGAGGACTTCGCCAAGGACAGCGACGACGACGCGAACCAAGCCTCGGCCATGGACATTGACTTCACCATGGCAGACCTGCCAGGCTTAGATATGAATACCGACGCGACCGCGAATACGAGCGATAATGCGACAGCTGCAAAGCCCGCAGAACCAGAGCCCGAGCCTGCAAAGGCCGAGGAACCCAAACCCGCCGAACAGCCGCCGGTCGAGGAGAAGAAGGAAGAGCCGATCACAAATACCAACGACGAGATGATGGATACTATGACTACGGACAACCTCGAAGACCTCTTCAATATGGAAGAGTACGAGAACCCCGAGCAGTCGCAATTCGACGACGCCTTCTTCAACTTCGAGTAGTAATCGATCTTGCATATACGGCGTTGATTCACAGGATGGCAGCACTGGATAGTGCTTGCACGGCATTGCAGGACATGGGTGGGCTCATGGCATTGAGACCACGGCGTACTGGAAGCATTTTGATACCCCAGCATATACCAGGAGGTAATTGTAAGACATTGAATTGAAGTTTGTACACCACGACCATTATGATTACACGCCCGATCATTCTCATCTAACCACTAGCTTGTAATGGGTGCCTTTCCTGTTCCCCTGTTCCCGGTGTAAGAGTGCTCTGGTTCGACCACGTCTCCATCGCTCTCGACAACTTTATAACTGTTCTTAACACTTGGGCCCGGGTCGCCAAGGGTCTCCGTCATGTGAAGAAGCTTTTCGTTATAATACATGAGGTTATTCACATGCCGACGGAGCTCTGGCACTGGTTCCATACCCGGAGCGTACACATTATCTTCCGAATCTGATTCTGGGGTTGAAACGTCTTCGTCTGCCTTGAGTTTTACAGTCAAAATCTCAGACATCAAGCCCAAAGTCGTCTTGGTATTTCGAAATTGCTCCATTATGATTTCACCCTGCTCAGAAAGTATGCGCTGGTTTGGTAACGGGTCCTTCATGTTTGGAGTAGGCTTCCGAAGCTTGTGATCGAGCGAATCTTCACCGTTCTTGAACACACCATTTCGAATGGCCCAGTTGTAGAAAACCGTTAGTTGGTGGAAGACAGATCCTGGTGACTTAATCTTCTCCATACACACCTTCTCTGTGTCATCAAGTGTCACACCCTGTAGTTTCGTAATCTTCTCGTCAGATTTTGCTTCGTTACGTTCTATCCAGGCCAAGAACAAGTCATTTGTGACGATCACAAATCGGTCGAAGACGTCAAAGTAGTCCCGAACGCAACTTTGAGCAAGCTTTGCGATTGCACTGTCTTCGGTGTTCGTCGCAGGCTCTTCAGTTGCTTGTCTTGGTGATACGCCTTCTTTAGCTGGCGTCTTATCACTGATGATGTCCGTGAACTGCGCAAGATGTTGGTTGTGCCGAGTCAAAGAGTTTACATAATCCTGGAGTCTTGACTTTGCCGTGGTGCCATCGTCGTCTGAATCTGAATCCAAACTTGAGTCCGAGTCCGAGTCCGAGTCTGAGTCTGAATCTGAGTCTGAGTCTGAGTCCGACACATCTGTATTTCTTTCTAAGATTCCGGCCATAAAGTACAACTCGGATTTGATGCCTTTGAGTATGTTTATCAGGTCTTTCTCCACTTGATACTGAGTTCCTTGACATCTTTCTACCTCTTGGCGTGTCAGTTCAAACTCTTTCAGGAACTTGCTCTTGCGAATGCTTGCATAATCTGGGAGTAACTTGTACTGGTCTCTCCACTCCTTGAGGATTTTGCTCTGCTTTTTCACCGCGTCTCTCAATTCCTTCGTTTTTACTTCCTCATTCGCGTTGTCGAAGTCTGTTTTGACGTTTTTGTATCTCGTAAGGCACTCCTTAGCAAGTTCTATGATCTCTTTTTTTCCGATGTCTTTCGTTTCTTCGATCGCTTGGCTGGGCTGATTCAATGCCATGTTGGATACCCCGTCCAGATTTGGTTACGTGACGGTCTTAGTCTTTGAGGCCCTAGATACCTAGGTATAAGATGCAATATGGTGGGCTGGGAACCGAGTTCTCGCTGCGGATGTAGCTTGTTATGAGATTTGCTTATGGAAAAGTGACGAATGTGTACTGGCTTTAATCTTTTATAGTCAAGTACAGTCACTGTTCGATGCGACTCATACACCGAGTGACTGGTGAGTAGCGTGTCATAGCACTATGTCCAACTAGTCATAAGCGGGCAGCGAATGTTCTCCTGCAACTCTGCTGTCATTTTCTATTTCATGAGCTACGTATGATTCTGCGACTAACTCTGACCCAGCTTCGTCTCCTCCAGCTCGCGAAGAGGCACTAAGTTCGCCCATAACGCACATCCACCGAATTCAGCGATCAACATAGAGTCCAGGATAGCTCCACTAATTCAGCTCCTGGTGAACATTCGACTTATCCTCCAGGGCCATGTCTTCCATCCACCATGACGTATTGTAGCGCCTTGCTTTACATCCAAACGAGAGGCATTTCGCTTGACTGTTTGCTCGTCCAGATCTTTGGTGGAAGAGTCCGCATTTCTTGTCTGAGCACCAGGTCCTTTGGCCGGTTTGATACATTCTTCGAGCTTTTCGATGGCCGCCTCCAGTTCATCGAGCAGCTCGCTCAGTTCCGGATCAGCCGCGTCAATGTATACCGGAAGTCCTTTAAGAAGCCTGCGGGTGACTATTCACTGTATTGTTCCGCTCGCTCGCCGTATCCGCCGCATCAGGCCTAGAATAATCCATGAAGACACTCGCATTTGTTTCATGCGTGAAGGCTTCAGGAGGCACCTGGTCCGGCAGACCATTTTTGCGCGTCATCTAGATTGAAAGAAGACTCTGGTTGTAGACAAGCTTTCGGCTCTCTTGTGTGAGCCTTATTTTCTGTGAATTTGGGTAGCTTAAAGAACCGTATTTTGTCGTAGGGACATGGGCCGATCCTGAGTCCGGTGCCAAGTCTAGCTCTGAGGCCAACAGTCCTCTTGGGGCGGCCTTTTCTTGCGCGATTGCGGCCATTGTTTTGAGCGCAGCTTCGATGTTATGGAGTGGCTTTAAGACATGATCTAAGACCTGCTTTCTCAATCTGGGACTTGCGCAAGTGTTGTAGTCGATAGAGACTTTCTCTTCCGAACATAGTCCGGTTATTTCCGCCCATGTAATTAGATCCTTACACAGGCGTCCAGTAGCCTCGAGTGCCGGTTCGCTATTTATCGGCTTATCCAGGTCGTCGATATTGCTCCAAACCTTCCCGTAGGCGGCTAGGCAGCGCTTATACATCGTCATGGGAGTGAGGTTCGCATCGATCCAATCTTCAAGCTTCTTGTTGACCGCACCCAGCTGACCGAACATCTCGCTCGAAGTCGGCTCGGGCCTGTTCTTTGGAATCGTTGTCTTTGTCGTTGGAGATGTTAACTTAATGTCTTCTCCAGCTTCGTATCGGTACTCACCGGTATCCTCATCTTTGTCATATGAATTGATTTGGTGTGCTTGCTGAATGCATGCCGTAGTAGAAGGATCTCGGAAGGAATGGTGAGAGCGGAAAGTATATGCCGCTGTTCATCTTCTCAAATACCTACAATGACTGTGCAGTAACTGTGTATGGCCAGTCTCTACGCAATCGTCGTGAATCAGAAGCGTGACTCTAAGAGCACCATAGACTCATTCAGGAATGATCCAGAGACCTTGTCATATCTGACCCCATGATGACCAACACGACTTGATCTCTCCGTCATAGCCCTCGGCACAATACGATGTACTGCCAACAGTCATTTACCACATGTAGGCTCTATCGCTGTGCATTTCCACCACTTGCGCTACTGATTATCCTCACTTTGATCCTTCATCCTCCCTTCATCACCGGGTATGTCGCAGTATGGCCCTCGTCCTCCGCACTGAAGCTGTTCGATCCGATCTTATCTCCTTACGAGATTTTTTGTCTCTCTGGTCAAAGACTCGTTGTATTGGCGGAGTATCGCCATTTGCTCTATCAACCCTTTCGCAAGTTCTGTAAGGCCAAGGTTCGAATTCGAGTTGTTGCCTGTGTCTGCTGTCGTAAGATCTTCTCCCGAGACGTACTTCTCCGGTAGTAACTCAGACATCGTCCCCAAGGCCGAACCGATGCTCAAGAGAACTTTAACGATTTGACCTCGGCTCTCGCTTTTACCTGAGTCGACGATTCTGGTCTCCACAAATTTTCTACCCTCACGAAGAACTCCGGCTTCACGGCCCCATCTGATGAATTCGTTGCGCGGGCCTTCGATATGTCCGGATGGTAGCTTGTAAGTCAGGCTCAAGCTTCTTTCGATACGCTTAAAAAATGTCGTGTATTCGGTTGCACAGCGTCGAAAAAGCATCTTGATACCAGGGCTTGCGTCGTCTCTTCCAGTATTCGGTCCGTCTTCCGGATCGATCGATAGTTCCAGGTTGACGATGATGCACCTCAAGTTGCCGATCTGCTGGTCCAGCATACCTTTACACTTTAAGTCAGGATACATGAGTTCGTGAGAACCTTCCCACCAGGGCTGCCTTTTGTTGCCGACGATCACGCGCATGACGTCTAGCGTGTCATACATTTTCTTGAGATAATCGATAATCGATGATTTTGTAACGGAAGGAAGATTGCGGAAGTCGTGTTTTGTCCTTTGATCATCGTATCCATATATTCCTATGTCTCTTCCCCACTCTTTCAAACAAATGAACTCTTCGAGGAGGATAGTGCGTGGCGGGTTTATATACGGAACGGGTCTGTCATCCTTCTTGGGTTCGGTCTCGTCGAATTTGTTCAAGATCGTATTGTATTCGTCCATACGATGTTCCATTAGTTTTCGGGCCTCGTCTGCTAGTCGGGTTGCGTTGGACTGAGTCGTCATCTCGTACCGAAAGGTATCGCTCGATTACTGAGAGCTCTGGTTGTTTACGGGTATGTCTTTTTAGAGTTGGCGTGTAAGCGAAGAGTTGCACTACACTTCGTGTTCTTAAAAGGTTAACACTGACTGTGCTCATGATATGACTGGATTGCGGACTAGTAGCTGTGAATCAGAGGGTTGACTCCAGGGTCTTAGCACCCTCGACCTACCTAGAGACACTCACATGTCCACTTCCGGTTGACTGTCATCAGGCATCTCAGTCTACGACGAGCCGCCGGCAAGCTTGATCTCTCCCTCAAATCCATTCACATGCATGAAGTTTGCCCGTAACGGAGTCACACTCGTATACCCCTGCGCAACCGCCCATCCATCATTGCCCGGCTCGCTGGCCTCAACACTCTCGTACACGTCCTTAAACGTCGGCGCCCACTTGAAGTGCTTGTGTGTATACCGCATATGCGCCTGGCCCGAAGGCGTCTCTCGTCCACTGTCCGTGCCGGATGCGCCACCCTGAATCTCCGAGTTCGCCTTGAGCTCCTTTTTGCCGAACTTCTCCTCTTGCTTGCGGATCTGTCCTTCAATGTCTGATGGCGTGTCGTCTGCTTCGGAGGGTACTTCGACGACCTGGAAACAGCTTCCGCTCTTCCATGAGTTCTGCAGCATGTTCGTCCAGAGAATCTTGCGCTCTCCCACATTCTCTACCAACGGTACGTTGACTGTGTAGAGGTGTGTGTTTGTGTCCCAGTTGTCCCACAGGTGTTGTATGAGTTTTGCGCTGAGCTCGCTGGCGTCGCTGATGATCTTAGCGTCGTGGTTGCGGTCGAAGAACGCGTACGAGAGGGCGATGGACTTCATGCCGCACACTGCTGCCTCCATCGCGCCGCCTATTGTGCCCGATGATAGAGAGAAGATGGCGGTGCTGTTGCGACCATAGTTCGGGCCGCTGACTACGAGATCGATCGGGCCGCGGTCGGAGAAGTAGTGGTAGAGACCGATCTGTACGCAGGACGCAGGTGTCGAGTCGACGAGTACCCATTCTTCTTCATTGGATGAGGGCGGTAGAGGCGAGTTATGGGTTGTGCCATGGTTCGTGAGACGTCCTTCGGCGTTGGTTTGGAGGGGCGCAGGGCGGTAGTACGTCGGTTGTATCTATGGTAGTGAGTATGGCGAGCGGCGTAGTAGAAGTGTTGTGTCATACCGACTTGCCCACAAGATGTGCCTTGCCTATCCATGACCGCTGGGTATGTGGGAGAACGACTGAAACGGTGTGTCCATGCTTCTGCAGTGTTGACACCAGCGAATGTACGTAGGGTGAGGACTGGTCTGATGGCGGGCCATCATCGTTGGTAACCTAGATCGATCAGTGCTTGCCATTGGCTTAGTAAGATACGACAATCTTACAAGAATATGCATGATTGCTTATGTGGACAGTGCAGCGGGTTCTGGAGATGCGTGTTGTGGATTGGAGAGGGAGAGATGCAGAGGGGCAGACAGTGACGTGCGCTACCAATAAGTCCGAAGCCCGTGGCAGGCAGTCACCGCCTCATTCTTCGCCGTCAACACCTCTGCGCTTTCATATTTGTTTTCGCATGGCCGTTTCTTCGACAAAACGGTTGCAAACGTCGTCCGCGAACGCTGCAGGGCAATGGCAAAGTCCGTCAAACTGGCAGTGGTACCTGCGCCATGGGTAGATCCGCTGATGCGCCCTGCATCGTGCCGACGATCAGAGCTTAGCTGCGAAGAAACTCGAACTTCCACGTCGCACCTAATAGCAGTGTAAACGCTTAGGAACAAGACTGATGGTATGAGTAGAAGTGCTTGCGACGCCGGACTTTGTCTCGCATCTCCATGGCAGATCTGAACACCCTCATTCGGGGGTTATCCATGGCCCCTCCCCCTTCCGACGTCCGCACGACAGCCGGCACTTCATCCACGACATTTCGAAACGGGAGTGCAGAGTCTACCGGCAGGTTTAGCTGTGTGTAGCTAAAACGACCAGAGCTTCGGGTGCGAAAGTGTAGAGCCGCAGGTCCCTGAAGCAGCTATTTTCGGTGTTCGTTTCTTCGGATCCCCGCCCGTGCCCGCATACCGTGAACACCATTTGTTTCAATGCTGAGACTGAATACTCAAGATGTTTATAAAGAGGCAGCGCAAGATGAGAAAGATAATCAGTATAACCAGTCCATCTTCACCCACCACTCCAACATCTTCAAGCTCCCCGCCTTGAAGCTATATATTCCATCATCCACCGTCCTATAATCATCTAGACACCAACACATTATCAAGATGGTCATCAACGTTCCCACCGCCTCCCTCGAGGGACAAGTCGCTCTCATCACCGGTGCCGGTCGCGGCATTGGAAGGGGTTGTGCTATCGAGCTCGGCAAGCGCGGCGCCTCCGTCATCGTAAACTACGTTTCATCCGAAGGCCCAGCGAACGAGGTCTGCGAAATCATCAAGGGCTTCAACAACGGTGCCAAAGCCGTAGCCATCAAGGCCGATGTCAGCAAAGTCAGTGAGATCAACAGACTATTCGAGGAGGCCAAGAAGGCATTCGGAAAGATCAACATCGTCATGAGCAACTCAGGAACCGAGAGCTGGGACGTGACAGAGGAGATCAGCGAGGAGAAGTACGACCACGTATTCAACCTGAACACAAGAGCTCAATTCTTCGTTGGCCAGACCGCATACAAGCACATCGAGGATAACGGCCGCATCATCCTCATGAGCTCCATTGCTGCCGGTCTTCTCGGTGTCAAGGACCACGCCCTCTACAACGCCTCCAAGATGGCCGTCATTGGTTTCATCAAGGCCTTCGCAACCGACTTCGGAAAGCGCGGAATCACCGTCAACGGTGTCGCACCAGGAGGTATCAAGTCGGACATGTTCACACAGAACGCCTGGCATTACATCCCCGGCGGTTCGCCTGACTGGCCAGCGGAGAAGATCGAGACACTGATGGCAAACCACTGCCCGCTTGGAAGGTGTGCCGTACCTGAGGATGTTGCGAGGGTCGTCGCTTTCCTCGCATCAGCGGACGGTGGCTGGGTCAACGGTCAAGTGCTGACCATCTCCGGTGGATCATCGCAGTAAGCTGAGACTGAGGTGGTGATGATGAACGAATGACGGTCGCATTGTATGTATTCCAGCGCATTTGATAGAGAGCCCAATTCGAAGCCATCGCTCGAAGAAAAGAATTAGTCATAACAAAATTACGTGATGTGTTTCCCGCGTGTGCCAACTTTCAGACTGTGTGTCGTGATTAAGGTCTGTGTGCGCAACCTTGGAAGGCTCCACGTACCCTGCCAAGACTTACGTCACCAAACGCGATTAGGCAACGCCATCACGTGGTTCGATCTGCCCGCGTACCTGGGCACTCATACCAGAAAAAAAAAACTAAACAGGCCTGCGGACTACGTCAAGACAAAGACCTACAATGCGGGTGGCCCAACGTCAACGTAGGCTCTACCTAGGTAGGGTGTTTAGGTTTTTCCTAGGTTAGCGTGCGGGCATACCTACTTTACACACCCTGCGACCTGTATCAGGATGTACTTCGGTTGACTGACGAAAATTAAGCGTCTGCCATGAACAGGATCTTGTCATTCGTAGGGGATTTCGACTTAGCCCAGCACGGTGGACCTTTCCAATAACCACGGTACTGCCGTGACACGCCGAACACTCCAGCAAACAACACCAAAGCGATCTCAATCATATCGTATACCAAAGTACACTCTTCATGACTAATCTGAACTAGGACCAGGCTGCAGTCTGAGTTAATGGCGCACTCTATTCATTCTAGACGTTTCCCTTATCGCTTCCATAGGAACTTCAAACTACCAGTAAGAAAACAGCAGTTTGGCATTCGACCACACAACCAAAGTTTGAATATTCATGTAGGTCACACGAGCAGAATTTTATGTGATAATTTTGCAAGAGACTTTCCCCTATAAATACTCTCTACTTCTACTTCATACCTATTCATCTCACAACTCGCAAACCCCTCTCTCGGTCACCACCACTAAGCAAGACTGCCACAATACATCCGCAATCTCGAGCAGTCAAGAACAGAACCCCTGTTCTTACATCATGTCGAACTCCAAGCTGTCCAAGTGCAGCCTGAGCGATTTCCCCGAAGAACTCCTTTGCGGAATCCTAGACGAAGTCGGCTCCGGCATCGATGAAGAATACGTCCCCGGCACCATACAGACTCTTCTCTCTCTATCCGCTACCAGCCGCCAGTTCAATCGACTCACAGAGTCTTACCTCTACAAAACCATCAAGACCGATCACTTTCGTTGCAGAAAGCTCGTTCAGCGTCTAGAGGACGACCCCACTCTAGTCACACACATCAAGCGACTCGTCTGGGATAAAAAGCCAAGCGAAACTCCCAAATGGTACGGAGCGCTGTCGGGTCGGTTGCGTACACCAAATCTCGCACGGGTATTCAGCATATCCAATATCCCGTCGCACTGGAAGTCTAGCGACTGGAGGGATAAATGTTCCGCACTAGCTCTAGTCTTGGTGCTCACTCCACGGGTAGAAGCCCTGGAAATTATGGACACGGATTTCCGATTTCGCATGAGCGACGGCAAATACGGGCCATCTTTATGGTCCACGCTGAGGCGATACCCCGATCCCAGACTTACCGAGCGCTTCGCCAAATTACGTACGCTACGATTTGGCCATCAGGACGTGGACTTGGAAGCGCTTTTATATGCTCTCCGATTACCAGCTCTACGTACACTGAGCTTCAAAGGCGAGCTTGTGGACAAGGACAGATTCAATCACGGAGTTGTTCGACCGATGAATCCTTCCCTGGCACGATGCGCACACCTATCAAGGCTCCCGCCTCGAAGCTCACCTATCGAGTATCTCCACATCGAGAATAGCGCTATCCACTCGAAGCATGCCGCCATGATCCTGCGCTGCATCAAGAACCTCAAAGACTTCAGCTTGACGTTCGCCGGAACCAGAACCGAACCCTCGATCAGCAGAGCCATCTACGAACACAATGGATACGGAGTACCAGCGTTACACTATCCTACCTTAAATGGGGCTATCATGGAGCATTCCAACTCGTTGGAGAGCCTCACTCTACAGACCAACCTGTCGCACGAGCCCAACATATACAATACAGCTGCGGCAGGATGCCTACGATTAGAACAAGTCCGCAACCTGGAGTACCTCAGAACCGATATAGTAACCCTATATCGCGACGAGACAACGAACCCGGACCGGCAACAGCACGAAATCTTCAACTCCCTTCCGCCTGGTCTACGTCGGCTTGATCTCGATATGTACGAACCAACTTGGCCGTACTTTAGGTGTCCGAAGGTTGCACTTATGAGTCTAGCTATGGACTGTGCGCAGAAGTATCCACTACTTAAAGACGTACGTGTGTTGAGACACACCACACGCAAATCGAAGTTGTGGGTAGCGTTTTCGAAGGTTGAGAAAGAGGTTGGGAATGCTTTCGAAGCACAAGGGGTATCTATTCGGTTCTGCCATCGCACCAAGCAAGCCAGCAGTTCAGATGACATGTACACTCCGATGAAGAAAAGCAAAAGTGTCTAATCTAAACTATTCATTGGGTATATGAAGACGCGCGTTCCACGCTCGTTGCTCGTTCGCAGCCTGCCTGTTTGAAGCAAGGCTTGCTGAACCATCTATGGACTAGTATACAAAAATCGAATCATTCCTCATGTGTTCGTGCCGTGTTATTGCAAATCGCTAAACGCCGGTAAAGTCACAAAGTGTGACAAGGGGTATGCCGAATCGTGAACGCCGTGAATGTCCCTCAGCCTCAAACCGTGGGCTCTTCGGGTGTTTTCCCCATATCCTCCCTCTCGTCCTCGGGGCTCTTGGGCTCAAGCTTGATACTAGCGTCTAGGATTTTGGTCGTGACTTCGTTGATATCTGCCTCCTTGTTGGCAGCGCCGACGACTTCCTCGATCATGGCGGCGAAGTCGACAGTCATGCCACCGACGTTCATCTTGAGTAATGCAGAGGCATCCGGACCGGTACTTCCGTCAACACTTCCGCGCTTAGAGCCGTTTTCCATGTCCAACATCATGGTCTCATTGTCAAATATGTTATCGCCACTCCACAGGCCCACAGTAGAAGTGTTGGGGTCTTCGTAGAGGTCAAAGCCCAGTCCCAGTGAGCCGTTCTTCGACGGCGAGCTGCTCACAGGCATGTCACTGGACAGAAAGTCATCGGCCAGGAACTCGCTAAACTGAGCATCACTGCGACCGGGTGTTGTAAATGTGGGAAAAGCCGAAAAGTCGATAGTCTGGGAAGGCGACGAGATCGGGTGGTCGGATAGAAGTGCATTGAGCTGACGGGTGAACGGTGTGTCAGGTGCAGCTGTTGTCGAACGGGTGACACGAGGACTCAGGATATTGCGGGACGGCGTTGAAGGCGCATCTCCGTTCCCTGCACCTCGTCTCGGCGTCAGAGCAATACGTTTGCGCGTGCTTGGAGTAGGGGTCTTTAGAGGATCTTGGGCGATCTGGTCCCTCTTAGGCGTGCTCTTCGGCGTAGGTTTCCGAGAAGCAGGGTCTTCGAAAAGGTGGGCAAGATCGTCTGTCTCTGCGGCAGGGGGTGGTGGGCAGTTCTCCTTATCCGGATTTTCTTGGTCGACGATGGCCACTTGCGCCACTGGCTGCTTGAAGTACCACATAGTCTTTGACTCGCACGGAATGCAGCCATCGTGTCCTATACCAGCGTTCGCGCAACGTCCACACGGTCGTTCGCGGTCACAGCCTCTCTTGAGCTCCTTGCATCGCTGGCAACGGGGCTTCTTGGGTGCGTCATCGTCAGGGACATACATTGGGGTGGCAATTGGAGCCGCAGCGACGGGGGCTGGAGGTGGGTCGGCTAGCGTCTTACGCCGACCTTGTTTCCTAGGTGATGGGAAAAGTAGCCGCCTTGTAGGCTTTGGTGTAAGGTCTTGGTCAATGTCAATAGGAGAAGTTTTGCTCCCTCTAACGCCTGCGGGGCTTGACTCAATGGCTCGCTCGAAGGCAGCTTTAGCTTCTTCAGGGTCGAGCTCACCCCTGCTGGGTGCGACAGCTGGCGGTGCCATTGTTCCATCAACGGGCCTGTCAATGGATGAAGCAGCTTGATCTTGCTCAGCTGGCATAGCAGCGTCAGACTCTGGCATCATGGCGTCGGACATGAGATCATCACCACCAGTCATAGACTTGGAGCGTGACCCCGCCTTCTGCTGCCTTTTGCGGTTGGCGAGACGCGCAGCGCGATCCCATACCTTCTGCGGCCTCATCGAAAACTTCTTGATAAGCCAGAGTCCACACGGGTTACAGAGGTTGAGTTCTTCAAATGCCTCAGAAGACTTCGCAGCCATGATGTCCTTGTCTTCGCGTGTCAAGTTGTTCTTGAAGATACGGTACTTCGGCTCAGCGTCCTCAGAGGATGATTCAATCACTTCGTATGCGATGATGTCGGTGCTAGCAGTATCGGTAGACAGCTCAATGTCCTTGGGTGTACCGTTCTCCACGCGTGTGTAAGCCTTTCGCCATGTGACTGTGTCGATTTCTCCGCAGTTTACACAGTGTGGTGGCATTTCACCTTTCCGAATAGCCGCGTCCAGTCTGTCTTTGATAACCCGCTTCCTCTTCGCGCCGGATCCACTTCGTGGGTAGCCACACTCGGAAGGCGTGGGCGCATCAGACATGGGCTCTGCTCCAGACCATGTGTGTGACCTTGGTAGTCCTCTCGGCTTAGACGGCTTACTTTGCTTCGGCGGTAGGTTTGGGGTTGCAGAGCGACTGTAGACTTGCGCTTCGCTCTCGGCAGTCGGAGAAATGTGTGACATGATGCCATCAGGCGAGCCGGCAGTCGATACCGTAGCTCGTGACTTCTGTAAAGCGTTCTTGTCCCCGAGGTTGTCATCCTGCTGTACCATGGACAGCCTCGCGATCAAATCGCTGTCATCATTCGCGTCGTTGCCTTGGAAATAAACCGAGTTGAAGATATCCTGGTCCATGGTGTCGAAGTCAAAAGTATGAGCAGTCATGTCCATCTCAATGCTCTGAGTGACTGGCTGTGTGACAGATTCGCGACGATGATCCTGGTATTGTCCATTCCAAAGTTTTTCAAAATCCATACCATCACCGTCTCGACTAGCCGGCATGTCGCTAACGAAACCGGAATCGTTGGGAGGTTGTGTTGGGAGGTCGGGGCTTGAGGCATCGGGCGATGTGGTTCGGGCTGGTGCGATTGGCGGGGATGACGGCATCGGAGTATCTCCTGGGCTTCCATCTCTCTCATCTGCAGACTCCATCGCATTGTCTGAGAAGACGCTACTCTCATACGGAGACACGTATGGCCGTCCTCCATCCATGGATCCATGTCTTAAAGCACTAGGGGCGGGTGGGCGGCGTGATCCTCGTTGACTGAACTTTTCACCGGGGCGAGGCGTTGGCGCGCGGGGCACCATATCTGAAGCGGCGCCTGAATTGCTGAGAGAAGGCTTGAGTAGGCGTACAGATGCCGCTGTGCTCGCTGTAACGCGCAGCGAATCATTGTGGGCGTTGAGCGGTGTATTCCTCGGTCTCGTGGTCTGCGTGATCCGTGCCCTCTTCTTCGGAGGTCCGTCTTCCTGTGGCTCGATGACATAAGGATCGCTAAACTGGAACTGCTGGGTCGGCTGGGCACCTTCACTTCTGACAGAGGTCCGTGACGCTGGCCGGGAGGGTGGGTTGTACTGATAGTGGTGGAATGAGAGCGTGCTCATAGCAGGACTGGAAGCCCTAGTCGGCTGAGACATGAACGACATGTTTGACTGATCGTAAAAGGAGTCGTTCCGGGGTGGCTCTTGTGACGGGCTTTGGCGGGTAAGCATCTGGTGGAAGGGCTCAACACCACCAATGGAAGGACGCGGCGAAGGCTGTGCGGGGTATGGGCTGGGTTGGGCCAGGTGACCCAGTGCAGGGTTCTCCTTGAGAAAGTCGGACCAGGCGTTGTAATCGAACCCTTCAGGCATCAGCTGACTGAGGCTGTGGTACCGCTCCATGTTCTCGACATATTCCTTTTGCATGCATGTCGGAACAGGCACCAGCTTCAGTTTGACCTCCAGGGTTTCCTTGATTCCGTTCGAAAAGATGCCAAGAATGTTCTTGCACACGCGACCAGTGACCATGGTTTGGGAATCTTTGGCGGGGGCATTGGGAGTCGGCGATGCTGAAGCGAGGATCCATGATAGCATGCCCTGACCAACCAGCGGCGTTTCGTACTCGGAGAAGTCGTAAGCGTATACGGTGTAGTCGTGGCCTAGTTTGGCTACGAGCTCGGGGCTGTGACAGTGAGCAAGCTGCTTCAATTAACCAATAAGCGGAGGAGTCGGCCCACCTTGCAGTCACAATAGCCTGAATGCAGGTCTTGAGTTCGATGACTCCCACTTCGGTGGTCTCGTCCAGCGACACGACAGGCACGTTCAGCACGCTTGGCAGACGGGCCAGGCAGTTTGACTTGTTCTGGTCATCGAATGTGTAGAGTACTTTGACTGTGGTGCAGCTGTGTTAGATCAAGTCGTGATGAATGAGCAGATGTGCTTGCCTCGCATTTGCCTGCGCGGTATTTCGTCCATTGTGCTCTCCTCGGCAGCGGACGGTGTGGGCGCGTGCTGCATCGCACCAGAATCCGGCGTGGTACTTGAGGGCGTCGACATGGCTGCCTATGAGATTGGCAAAGGATAGGCGGGCCGTGATGAAGAAGAGAGAAGAAGGTTGTCGGGAGCGACGGGGTGGTCTATGTTATATCGCGATCGGTGGCTGGCGTGCGATCATCGCGAACGCGTTCGAGGTGAACTAAGAAGCGAGACTAAAAGCGACAAGAAGACGAATTGGCGGGGTAAACGTGTCTTTAAATATTTTCGCGTGTAGATGAATCCGAATTAGGCAACAGCACGCGTAAAGTGGCAGAGAGAAGGAACGTAGAGGGCGTCGTGAAAGAGGTCGTGTGGTGAAAGTGAAGTTGCATGCACGAGCTCGGAGGTTTGACGCTACCCGCTTCGCGCTAACGCGGGGAGGACAAAGACGCGTGACGCACCTTCCATGCTAAAGTTTCAGCCCCACTCCCGACGCGTTGATTGGCTTCAATCGCGGATAAAGTGTAGCTCCAGATCCGATTCTGCCAAGCTCGCTCACTTCATCGCCCTGCCTCATATCATCGCCGACCGATCCACCTCATCCAAGCGCGTTGCCGTGGTGTTCCTCCTTTCTAAAACTAGGTCAGTCTTTCCGCTCCTGGTCTGTGCATATCTTTTGCGCGGCCCCATCCTTGCGCGCTACTTCCCTGAGCAGCGTATATCAAAATTCGCAGGCAGAAGCTCGAGAGCTAGAAAGTTAACCTGTAACAGTCCCAACCCCATATAGCAAATCTCCCCCTGCTACCTTGCACAATTCGACACCATGGTGGACGCAAAGATCCAGTATGTATTACTGCTAGAACATTCACCGCTATATAAGCTAACCTTGCGCAGAGAGCTTCTATCCAAGCCGCGTTCGGAGTTGACGTACGTACACCCTCCAATCCACAACAATTCTTGTACTGACATTGCTGCCTAGCGAGTACGAAGTTGCTCAGGTCGAAGAACATGAGCTCACCACCGGCCCCCTCTCCATCCTCCAGACCGCCGTCCGCTCGCGCACACAAGTCCTGATCTCGTGCCGAAACAACCGCAAGATTCTCGCACGTGTCAAGGCTTTCGATCGTCATTGCAACATGGTTCTCGAGAACGCGAAAGAGATGTGGACTGAGACTCCACGGTTAGCCAACGGCAGCTACGGAAGGAAGGTCAACAAGGACCGCTTCATCTCCAAGCTGTGCGTTCAAATTACACTCTACATTTGCGCATGCGCTGACTTTTATAGGTTCCTACGCGGCGACTCGGTCATTCTTGTATTGCTATCATAAGAGCTTGGAAGCACTGGGGATTTGGGACGGTAGCGCCAGATCGAGCGCACGAAATGGAGTTGGAATGAATTAAAAGTTACATAACCGTCGCGAAATCGGCGAGGAACACCGAACGAATCAAACAACGATACCCCAACTTCTACTTCTTCAACCCGTCACTCAGGCCCAGTAGGAGCTCCGCGAGGCCATGCGCGCCAGGGTCTGGAACCTCTTGGAAACCCTCGCCTCCAACGTAGACCGTTCGCCCCAAGCTCGCTTTCATACCCTTCGTCCCTTGCGCGCCACCTTGTGCCGCCGCAGCCGCTTTGTCGATACTTTCCGTCTTAGACAGCGTCTCAACGAACGGATAGAGGGCATCCATCAGCGTTCGGTCACCGGGTTTGGCAGGAGTGTATTTGCCCAGTGCCTTGAGCGATGAGTCAAGGGCGTTGGCCCAGATTGCGGGTGTGACAGGCTGTGGCGACGAAGGCGCGTTTTGTCGCAATCCATGCGCCAGCGCATTCAAGAAGATGGCGTAGATTGCACCTGACGTGCCGTCCATAGCCAGTTCCACCACTTGAATGATGTGATTCATGAGGATCAGCAGATCATCCGTCTCCTTTGCCGTTTCGAGCATCTTCAGGATTGCTGTTGGGTGTCAGCGCCAGGCATCCATGCCCACGTGATGAGAACCTACCTTCTGCGCCACGCTTGAGTCCGATTCCGCAATCGCCATCACCAACTATTGTGTCATATCGGGTGACGTCCGGCTCAGCCTTGATGAGTCGGTTCAGCGCAACTGTCAAGGTTGACTTGGCCTGAGCATAGTTCACTACTCAAGTTAGCATGTGTCATATGCAGCTCTGCATGTACTTACCTCTCAGATCACTTGGCTGGATGTCCTCTTCGTCTACCTGCTCCTCGCTTTTCTTCGCTTCGCTGCGTCTTGCCCATGTGCTGCTACTAATCGCCGCAGACCAGCCACTTGCCTCGGCAGGCGCATCAAGCAGCTCGAGCATTGAAGCGTCGGCGACTCTAAGCAAGCTAATGGAGAAGCCCAATCCGTTCAAACTGGTCATGAAGGTGCCAGCTAGAATACGCACTGGCTTGATCTTGAAGCTGTCCGCCAATTGCTCAACGACTTCGTTCGTGATTCCGCTTAGCTCGAGTGGACTGACACCTCCCAGGTTGTTGACCAGTAGTACCACATCGTCCTTGTCGGTGATCTTGGAGAAGCTTCGGTCCTGGTCCGCTACGTCCAGGCAATGCGACAACATTGTCTTTACAAGACCAGGTAGATCGATCTTCTTGCGCTCTGAACCGGCTTCATTATGGATGCCCATTCCAATCTCGACTAGGCCTTCAGCCAGCTCGTCTTCCTCTGCCTCTCGGCGACCTGGCACGTGGACATGAGCCAGTGAAGAGCCGATCGAGACGGTGTTGTCTGCGACGAGCTGGGCCATCTGCGTTACATCTTTGAGATTCGCTCTACAATGATGTCAGCTTCCTTATAGGCATGATGTTGGTGTGGTGCATACCCTTTAGCAGCAAGCGCACCGGCAATCTTCTGGACGAGCACTGTTCCCGCAATACCTCTGCGTCCGACCTTACCTCCTTTCGCACGCCCTACACCCGCATCGTCCCCGACTACCACCATGTCGACTTCAATACCAGCAGCGCGCGCTTTCTCCACGGCCATGCCGAAGTTCAGCACATCGCCAGTGTAGTTCATTACAATCACGAGGACGCCCTTGTCTTTTTGAATGCGATGCAAGATACATCTTCGCACCTGCTCTGCACTTGGCGAAGCGAAGATGGTACCTGCGACTGCTCCGGATAAAAGGCCCGCGCCGACAAAGGATGCGAATGAGGGTTCGTGACCACTACCACCTCCAGAAACTATGCTGACTTGCGATGCGCCATTCTTGCGGTAGACGATCTTGTTGTTGATGTCGCATTGCACGGATGGGTTCGTCTGAGGGATGCTGAGTAGCGCGGTGTTGACGAGGTGTGTCGGGTCGTGGATGAAGTGTCTCGCTGAGTACGTTAACTATCTGATCCCATAGGTTTTGATGGCAATGCATACATGACATTGTGATTACTATATGTCCAGCTCAATGGAGTGCGCGAATTGGTGCAGAACGACGGAGCACAGAGCGGATGGAAATCGCAAAAGTGGCATGACGAAAGACCAAGAAACCTTCAATACCCGACCCGACGACAAGCAATCATTCCACCATTCCTTCGTGTCATTTGACATGTGCCGACATAGCCTGTGGCCACACGGAAACGCGTCCGCGTTCCGTCTTGTTTCCAGGCATCTGGAGAGCTCCAGTGCTCTAAGTGGGGTTGCGCAGATGCGTGAGGGGTAGCTTTGCGTTACTGTGGGGTCGCTCCTTCCCCCGAACCCCGAGATGTCAGCAAGCATAGCTGCCGGCTTCCTTTTCTGGGCGATGCCGTACCAAGTTTCGGTCTTCCGACACCACTCCTACACCAAGCATTGAAAACTACGACGAGCCTCATACGGAACAGGTCCGGGAGACTGGAGTTCTTGTATATGACCATGCTTGCTTTTTCGATCTTGGCATTCGACAATCGGACCTCACCTACGTGCCCAGAGCTCAATACCCAACAATACGACTTTGGGCATGAATGACCGATTGCCGCCGTGATGATCATCAACTGGGCACGAAGCCCTTGCGTTTGTGGAGGAGATGGCGAGACGCGCTCATTCCTACCATTAGGCCGCTATTGCAGTTATGGAGCGGTACCCAGAGTGTGAGTTGATGGCACACACCCGTGATTGTCTGAGCCTTCGACTGGCTATGGTACCTTCGCTACCACGAAATTTGTGCGGAGCCACATGGACTCGCACACATCTGGGAGAATTTCAACATCTCATGTAGCTTCACACTTACATTCACTACTCGCCTGCCTCAACAATCATGTCTCAGCTGGAAACCTCCGTTTCGTGCGCTGAGAAACGTTACAAAATCAATGCAAAGAGAAGCCCACTATACGCCCTTCCCTACGAGGTCCTAGCCCATATCCGGGGGTACTTGGATCACGCCGAGAAGACTTGCTTTGCGCTGTCAGGTGCCAAGTTCTTCCAAAGTTTTCCATCCATCACTATTCCAGAAGAGAAAGTCGGCGATACCAAGATCGACGTCCATCTTCGGCTTCTGAGAGACGACTTCTACAGAGAAGCCCACAAACGACCGGGGATCTGGTGCGTTTATTGTGCAGATGTACACAAGGATACGCACTTCATCGAGAGCATGCTCTGTCGCCCACGGCAGGAACGCAAATGTTCCTCTACACTCAGACTGTGCCCACACAGGTCTTACTCTCTGGACTACTTGAGAGATAAGGTAGAAAGAGCTGTATCTCTTAGGGGTAGGCAGGCCATGTACTTTAGTCTCCGGTGCTATACTTGCGAAACAGAGTTGAAAAAAAGCCAGATATACTTCACCAATTGTGCCGTCACATACGATCAGACGTCTGGAGACTATGTCATGAGAAGTGACATAACCATAGGCTTTTCGAAAGCAAAAGGCTCGGGTTTACATACAGAAGCGCGTAGAGTCCTACAAAAACTCGATTTCACAGCGTGTCTTCACAGACAAATTTCTGAGGAAAGCACCATAAACCGGTTTGTCGATGCCGAGACCGGGGCCGTCAAAGCAGAAAAGCAGAACCAAGCCCATCGCGTACATTGCGAGCACTGTAAAACGATGGTACGAACCAGATACGTCAAATCCTTGTGTTTTTCGCCTCACAAGCCAGGAGCAGCAGCAGCGGAAACCGGACTGAAGATAGATATTATACGTCACTTGGGCAAATTGTCAAACGAAGACGATTCGACGTGGAGAGCGCATCTTCGAAAGCGGCAATTGAAAGTCACAAAGGATTAAGGCGACCTGGGTTCGGCTCGAACTGGGCTGACCACCACGATGAGAGAGTGGGAAAGCAAGAGCTATGTGCATGGCCGCCAAGATGGAGAGCGGTCGGGCCTCGCGGAGTATATTCGGCATGAACGCTTCGAAGCTACCCCACCATCTGATAAGATTCTGATCTGCACCCCCACCAACCTGTCGCGTCGAGCTCCAGCCATCGCGTCCTCAGGCAATTCGTCTCATCTTTCAATTTGCGCGTCGCATTGCTGAACTTCGAAATAATCATTTCAAAATACCACAACCCGCATTTGTCTTTTATATCGAAACCTCAACGCGAAGATGGCCCACCCAGGCACCGCACACAAATACACCAAAGGCCTCATCGCTTTCGAACACGCCTCCACTCACCCTTCGTCCTCATACAACACCGTCCTCTGGATAGGCGGCCTAACAGACGGCCTCCTCACCGTCCCCTACCCCTCGCTCATCGCTGCCTCCCTCCCACCAACCTGGTCTCTCGCCGAAGTCCTCCTCACCTCCTCCTACAGCGGCTGGGGCACCGGAAGCCTCGCGCGCGACGCAAAGGAATTAGGGGAATGCGTGGCATATTTCAAGGCAAGGCGGCCGGGGAAGAAAATTGTGCTCATGGGACATTCAACGGGGTGTCAAGATATCATGGAATATTTGCTGGGGAAAGGAAATGAGGCGAGGGAGAAAGTGGATGGCATAATACTGCAGGGTGGTGTTAGTGATAGGGAGGCATGGGAAGATTACTACAAAGAGGGAGAGAGAAGAAAGCAGCTTGACGATGCGATTGCGATGGCTAGAGAATTGGTGGACAAGGGGAAGGGAGAGGAAGTCTTGTCACCGGAGAGTAATCCTGTGATCAAGGACATGGGCGGCCCTCTCAACGCATATCGCGCATACTCCCTACTTGCAAAGGGTGGTGACGATGATTACTTTTCGAGCGACCTTTCCGACCAACACTTCAGGAACACGTTTGGCAGGATACCAGACACCACAACGGTAATGTTTTTACTAGGGGCTGAGGACCCGTATGTGCCCGCAAGTATCGATCGGGCGGCTCTACTTGAGCGCTGGACAAGGATAATACGGGAAGGAGGTGGAGTAGTAAATAGTATAACTGGTGGTGTGGTACCGGGTGCTCATCATAACCTTGATGGGGATCCAGAGGAGGTTGTGCAGGATCTGGTAGGAAGGGTTGTTGGGTTTGTTTTTGCGTTGGGTCTGGAGATGACGTGGAATATTTAGTGGTGTTGGATCTTTGGCTGGGATAGGGTCTCTGCAGTCGAAAAAGGACTAGGAGCAGCGGTTTTGTACAATTGAATGACAATGTAGACCTCTGTGCTTCGAAATTTCCAAAAAAAAAAAAACATGAGAAACGCTGTTCTTCAAAGTAATGTATTACCGTGGCATGCTATCCACGCACACCACTGCCTCTCGGCCATTCCCTACTCAACGATATCTAGCTTTTGGTATCCCCATCCAGTCCCAACCCATAATCCGTTAATTCATCCTATCCCCATCCCAAAAGCAAAGGAATAGAGCATCCAAAGCTCCGCCCATTCGAACGCCCACGCAATGCGAAAACAACCCATTCCATCTCCACCCACACTTAGTCAAACCCACTCCTCCATTGCTTCCCCATAAGTTTCTTGGTTTGCTGCGCAAAGTAATGCTTCCGTCTTCGCTCACGCTCTGCTGGGCTCCGCTCTGCTTCTTCTGTTTCTTCAGCTGGTAATACCTCGGTATCCTAAGCCCCCGGTATACCACCAGGCTCCTCAAACACCGCTTGAACGACCCATTGCTCGCCGAACTTGATACCCTTCCCGCCACTGATACCAGCGTTGCGCCAAGGACGATTAACACCGATATCCACGATCCAGATGAGCCACTGCGGATCGCGTCCGGAGCCGTTTTGAAGGGCTTTGACAAGACCAGTCCGTGGCGCACCGAGACAAACGATGTACTTTGCGCGGACTTCGAGGGGCTCGCCTTCCAAGATGGAGACTTCGCCCGTAGAGCCGCCGACGCCGGATGGTGTTTCGACAGCAAGGCAGGCGGCGCGCGATTTGTTGGCCCAGCCTACGATGTTCAGAACTACGCGTTGGTCTTGGTCGCCAAGGGCTTCAAATTCTTTGTGGCGGCCGAGCAGAGCATCAATAATAAGTTCCGGTGGTGCTTGAAGACGCTTTAGAGCTTCTTCAGTCGCGTTCCAGGAGCGGACGGTGCCGCCGAATTTGCGGAAGAGCTCGACTTGGCGGCGTATGTCCTTGTCCCAGTCTGCGTTGCGTTCGAAGCCGAGGAGGGCGACCATAACTTTTGGCCCGCGTTGGGCGAGGTGCCGTGCTGCTGCTACTGCGCGTGCGCCTCCGCGGTGGTTGCCTGCGAGGACTACGATAACGGGGTTGGCGTTTGGATTGGCGCGCGAAAGACGCATGCCTCCGGGATTTATAGCAGTCAGAGCAACTTCTGCAATACCTCGTCCTGAGTTCTCTGCCATAATATCTTCGTTGAGGCCGAAGTCTACTTCCGCGGTTTCCTCTACGGCCAGCATAGCACCAGGAGTGATGGCGAAGCACTTGCGGTTGTTAGACACCAGTCGTAAGCAGCCCTTAGCGCTAGACTCGAGAGGTGAATCTGGTGGTGAAGCAACCCGCCCTGGCCTAGGGCTACCAGTAGCATGTGAGGACGTGTAGGGTCGGTTGATGAACGAGCGATTAGTCCGCGGCAACACGCCTGAGCCCATCATATCCATGTCGGCCTGTACGCTGCCTTGCCTTGTTGGTGCCATCTTAACCGAAGCCCTGGACATTGCCCGTCTAGAGTTACGTCCGCTGCCAAAGTCCTCCTCTTCCTCCTCAGAGCTTGTGTTGGTCGTGCTTTTCAGCTTCCGATCCAGCACGTTTTCCGTAGGATGAAGGTTCTTTCCGCCGTGTGTACCTGGTCTTGCCAAGCGATTGAAGCTGACCAGACGGTCTTCGTCTGCAGTGGTGTCCTCATTCCTAATCTGATTGAACACTGTTCGCTTGTCAAACTTCGAGAGGTTACTCTGGAAGTCAAATTCAGGCATGTCCTGAATATCGGTCGCATCTTCTGTAGCCCAGCCGTTCGTAGCTTCGAGCGCCTGTTGCCGTTTCGTTTTGCGATTCGACGCGTTCGCCGCTGCGAGACCGACTCTGCCGCCAATGACGCCAGGAGTTCTCGTTTGGGGCTGTTCGGCGGCTTGCAGCATGGGAGTGTTTCTCCAACCATTGCCTTTGCTAGTAGAGGTTAGCTCTTGGACATGCGACAGAAGACCTGGTGTTCAAAATCCCACATACCCTTTCTTGACCGCCTCAACATCACCGTTCTTCCTCTCTTGAGCGGCAAGTTCCTTCTTACGAGACTTGCCCCCTCTTCGAGTCTTCTTGCCATTGTCGTCGTTCTTCTGCGGGCTGGGGTCATCCATAGGCTTGCCGGTCCTCGTCTTGGTGATGCTTGCCCTTCGCGCATTCACCTGTGCTGTCCGCGCCTCACTGTCCGCCTCCTCAGCGTCCGCAATATCCAGCGACGAGAATGGACCTTCCAGAGTCGCCGCACTCGGCTTTCGGACGTTGTGTTGCTTCGCATGGCTTGCGAAAGAGGACGTGTTCTTCGATACAGTCGCCGCGCTCGCAGCAGCCACGGGCTTTATGGGCGTCGCAGGGGCTTCCTGAGGGGTTGCGGAAACGGGACCACCCAAAATAGGGGCGGTAGAAGTGCGCTTTCCCATACTGAGAATCGCAGGATCGACGAATGGCGCGGCTTGACCTGGCTGAGGAGCGGTCTGGCGAGGCGCTTGACGAGCATTCTGGTAGGCAGGCGCGCCTGCAGGCGGGATCCCGGACGGCTGGCTGACAAGATGCGGAACTTGTTGGCCCATATGCTGCGACTGGCGCGGGGCATGGCCCGGAGGATACTGCGAGTGTGAGTATGCCTGCGGCCCTGATCGCGTGGGCAGAGGTTGGGGAGGAGCGGGCGCCGACGGATTGACCTTAATGTCTGCAATCATTTGTCCCTCTACCGTGTAGGAAGCGACACGGTGACCCGAGTTTGGGAAGAAGACTGCAGACGTCAGCGTATGCCCATATTCACGAATTCTGGCTGCGGTGTACCATCTTGGAGAACGAGTGTAGCTGTCTGCTGGTCCACGGCGCTGACCACGCCCACGACGACAGCACCAGGGGGAGACTGCAGCGTGACCGCGACCGACAATCCGACGAAAGCACTCGCCATGTTTGCGGTAGATCGGACGTGTTGGAGGTGGAGCGGTGATCCCGAGTCCGTTGTAACCCCAACCTAACTATTTCGCGGGTCGTGCTTTCGCGCTAACGCAGTGGTCAGCCACAGTCTAGCCAACGGTGCGTCTTCACATGCTCAGCATAAAAGGGACACCCGGATACAAGTTGCGCCAAGGTACCCTGCATGTGGAAGAAAACGAACGAAAGCGAATAGGGGGTAAAGACTACAAGAGCTTGAGATGCAGGATCTTTTGGAATATGTGAGAGCAATCTAGACTTATGGTGTATCTTCTCTCTGTCATAGTACCCAGCCAGGCACGCGCTCAACTTTCCCAGGAATGACGTACACATGAAAAGGAGACGAAAGGAATAATAACTCATCTTCATTACGCGTTTTCATCTAACTAAGGCCGCCTCATCACCTAAAAGCAAATCAAAAAGTCCAGGGTATCCATACAATCGTTCCATGTCATTGCGCTCCATCAACCACGAGGCGCAAGTCGCGTGCGCCTCGACTGATAACGCGACATTCCCAGCTCCGCATCAAACAAGCACCCAAGAGGCCACACTGCCAAACATGCACGAGTATGCCCTCTTATTGTTCCAAGCAGCCAAGCTCAACCCACGTGCGTCCTTCTTATTAAATTCTGTCACGGCCACAATCGAAATCTTCTGGCCCGGCGCACCGAGGTCCATGCGCGGGAAGTCGAGCCACCAAGTGCGCCCGTCGGTGTTCAACGGCTTGTAGTCTGGATTCCGGCCGTCTCTGCCGGCAACGCTTAGGAGCATAATGTAGGGCGGACCCTTTCCGTTGATCTGGGGATCCCAGTGCGGGCAGATGAATGACATTTGGAACCGGACTACTGCTGGTGCGTAGGGGTCGTTTACTTTGATTCTGGCTTGTGATGGTTCAAATGTTTGCTCGCCGAAGCCGTGGAGCTTCATGCCATTGCCGCAGAGAAAGAGGCGCCCGCCCTCGTCATGCCGCATGAACTCTTCGTATGACATGATGCGTCCGTCGGTGCGGAACTGGTGAGAGGCTTCTCCGGGGTAGTGCTTCAGTCCGAATTCGTTGTTGTCCATGATAAAATGCTGCGGAGCGAAGGCTCGTACGTATCTAGTGCATGTTAGCCCTTGTTCTACGGGTGGTGAACTGCGAAAGAAGTATCATCTCGAAAATCTTACCCTTCGCCCTTATTACGACACCCTAGGTGTCCAGCTCCCCAACAGGGATCAATAAGCTTCCATTCTCCGTTGTCGATCTTGACAGCGTTCCAGGCATGTGTCGATTCATAAGGTGGTGTAGGTTGACCAGGCTCCAAAGGTGCGTGACCGTAGCCCTTACACGCACCGGAACATACCATAGCTTCCAACCCAGCTTTCAGAGCCAGAGCAGCGAACAGACCGGCATACCCTTCGCATACTGCCAGACCTGATGCAATTGTCTTTTCGGGTGTAGTAGGCATAACCGTGTTATTGAAGAACGAGTGAGTATCGTAGTCGACGTTGTGATGAAGCCAGGTGAAGATCGCTCGAGCCTTGTCTGTAGGTGAGGCAAACTGTGAGCATAGTTGATGAGCAAGCCAGCCCACGTCTGAGTTGGGAAGTTGGGTACGAGGGAACTGCGCAGCGTGATTGTCTGGGCCTGAGAAGTCCCGACACTTCAGGCAACTTGATGGAGCAGCACCTGGTTTCGGTTTGGAAGCCATGATGGCGCTGAGGTTCGGTCTGGACGACATGGGAACAGGTGGTGGTGCACCAAGAGCCGGGGCTGAATCAGATGTAACTACTGGTGGGCGAGTTGAAGGCACAGGTGGAGGTGTAGCGGCCTTATTGTTGAAGCCCATGTCCAACGCTGACCGTCGCGGTGGCGGTGGTGCGATCACTCTGTTTGTTCGAGAGGTGTCGTTTGAGGATTGCCTTTGTGGCAGCGCTGGCACAGGCTGAGGTGATCGCTCGCGAACGATGGACTGTCTAGGAGGTAGAGAGGGTCTTGCCGGTAGGTCTGCACAGCATCATGTTAGCAGTGCTCTCGATGTGTGCTTCCGACTTTAGTCTACTTACTGGGAGTCTTGAGCTGAGGGGGTAGTTCCCGAGAAGGCACATAATCCCTCTTGCTCTTCATAGCATTCAGTGTCGCCTTGCTCTGTTTAGGGTCCTCAGGTGCTTTCTTGGCTGGCAGCGGTGGCAGCTTTGACGGGTCATAGGCCGGAGCCCTGACCTGATATACCGTGCCTGTACTTCCATTGCTATATCCTGAGCCATTCGTCTTCACAGAACCCAATGACAGCGTTGATATGCCTGACGCGATTGTGGAAATTGACTCAGAAGACTCGCGCCTGCGCACGCTCGATTCAGACGCCTTGCGCGGAGGCAGTGTTGGCGTTTGGCGAGGCGTGCTGGCATTGCGCGGAGGCGGACGAGGAGGCAGCGCGGGCGAGACTTTTGGTTTTTCGGATTCGTTCACTACTATGGGCTGGTTGCCGAGTTGTCGCGCGGAGGTGGGCGCATTGCTCAGGACTGGCGGGTTGTTGACTGTCTGGCGCGAGTAGGCGGGAGGGCGCGCGCTGGGCGGCGGCGGCGGTGGCTTCTTCTTTGCAGTCGAAGCATCGTACGAGTAGGTCGGCTTGGCGCCCGGTGTAGGAGTGTGCACCTCCTCGAGGTTGAGCGCGGCAATCCTCGACTTGATCGACCCTTCAGCCATCACGGTCGCGTTCGGGTGATCTACGGTCTGTGTTTTAGGTGTGGCTGGTGCTCAGTGGAGTCAACAGGAGCATCAATTGGTGGTGTCAGTCGACGTGCACCCTCTCATTGCGTGGCGAGCGAGAGGCTACAGAGAGAGTGAGCAGAGTGAGCGAAGGAACGTGTAAGCTGTGAGTATGACGAGACGAGGCTTGTCCGCCCAACAAGAGGCACGCCTGACCGCGAGGGATAATTGCAGGCAGAAACGATGCACAGCCTCCGGGGCTGGCTGTCAGTTCGCGCTAGTCCTGAAGCTGCAACCCCACCTTTTTATCCCGTCCTGCCGACTTAAGCTTTCCCTCTCGTCTCAAAATAGCCCGGACCGATCCTCAGGGCTGACACTCTGGTGCTGGCTTAGTGGTAGATAGCTCATGGCCTTCCCAGACTATTGAATGACATCAACGTGCCTTGGCCGCCGCGACTGTCATCTGTCGTGGCACGAGGTTCGCATGACGTTTCAGAGCCTGCGCTTATGCTGTGTACCCCCGGGTGCCCGTTACCAAATCCTCACCGGTGCATAGGGTCGTGCCGTACAGGTACATGCAGATGACATAAGTGGCCTTGACGACGATCCTCCTGGATGCATGAATACCTCGACGTCTGTTGTTGGTACAAAGTCGTTAAATTTTGGGTAGTATACCTGATCGTATGAAGTAGTCATTTATTTCATGGCTGTATCACCACATGCAGCGACCGTCTGATTTTAAAATTTCTTTGTTGACTATTGCACACAAAATCGCTATTGTATCAAACAAGTCGTAAGTAGAACATATGGAGTCGCCAAAGCAAGCACATAGACAACCCCTACACTCCATTCCCAATCCGCCCAAAACCTCTACCCAGCCTGTGCCGCCCATATCGCTGACCAGTCCCACCCAACTCTAACCGGGAACACCATAGCAATTTCAACTTGTGCTCACGCATCGCTGCGCAACGATAAGAATAGCGTGCGAAAAGACACTTTTACTCTTGTTGAAAGGAGAGGACGGGCAGTCGCTGAAGATACCACCCAATAATGCAATGCGAGGGGCTCGCTATTCAAAACGCCAGAGAAGAGTGTGAGTGAAGTGTGGTGAAGACTACTTTGTAGCGAGACGCATGATGCGAGTTGACCATGTGTAACCGCTACCTCTTGCGCTTCTTGCTCTTGTCCAGTGCTGTGCTCATGGAGTACGCGTCTTGCATCGGCATGTGGTAGTCGTGCATTGGGGGAGGCGCCATGGAGGTCGCCGAGGAGACTGAGTTCTTCTTGACCGAGACCCCCATGTGGCGTCCATAGCGACCTTTCCTGCCGTTGCCTTCGTCTTCGCTGACACATCCGTCGGCACCGATGCCGGCGTCTTTGCAGCGCTGGCATGGTCGCTGACGGTCACAGCCCTTCTTGCTCTTGCGGCAGCGCTGGCAGCGTGGCTTACTCGAGAGATCCTCCTCATCGACGCCGAGCTGATGCTGGAAGTTCAGCGATGCGTTGGAAGCCTTGCGCGACTGAGAGGGGAGAGAAGACGGTGACATTGGGGCCTTGGTGGTGCCGTTGACCTTGGACTTGCTCTTTGAGGTGGCACGGGGCTTGCCGGACTTGCCAGACTTGCTCGACACGGAGCGAGCCTTGATGATACCGGCGTGCACGCGGTGGTTGTGTTCATCGGCAATCATCTCATCACTGGCACCCTTGAAGGAGCCATCTCGGTCGTCCTCATAGTCCTCACCACTGCTCTCGGCTTCGTCGTAGACACGTGTATGGTCGTTCATTGCACGAGCCATGTTGTACGGGAGAGGAGGAAGCTCACTCTCGTCATCGCTACCATCAGCACTCTCGTCACTTGAGGATGCTGCAGCCTTTCCGCTAAAGGCATCATCGAGCGTAGAGGTAGACGTGCGACCGTGGCCGGAGAAGTTGGACGCATCACCCAAGCGCATGAGCTGACGAGCGACATCCTCATCAGAGATGACGCTGATACTCGCAAGAGTGGTGTCAGGGGTAGGAAGGACCCCACCGCTGCCGGAGTAGCGGTAGTGGGAGTGCTGAGCCGAGCCACGCGCGCGAGACTTGTATCCCTGAGCCTGGCTACTAGCCGCAGAGTATGGTGTGACTAGTCCCTGGAGATATGAACTGTCGCCCTGACCGTAGCTCTGCGGGGAGGGCAGCGGATGCGAGTATGAGAATGTTTGCTGGTTGGCAGAGTATGGCGAGCCAGCAGTGTTTCCGCTGATGCGTCGCTGGGGGGATACGGACGACTGTGAAGCATTCATGGGAACTTGAGGCGGTACGAACAGAGGCAGCTCCTAATGAAAGGAACGAGTGTCAGACTAATGCACGATACATGCCCACTGTAGGTACTTACCGAGCTGTCGAATTTGGCACGTTTTCGGCGGCCACCCTCGACAATGTTGTCAACGCTAATCTCAGCGCTCGCCAATGGCTCTTTCCTCGAGCGTCGCGAGCTGCTGACAGAGCCATGCTCGTCGTCGCTGTCGCTGTAGCCGTCGCCATTGGCGTCAGCGAAGCTTCCGTGCGAGCTGTTGCCGCGACTCTTTATAGACGGGCGCATGCGCTTGTTGATGGACGCGCTCCTCCGACCACGATGTGGGGAGTGGCTCTGGCGCGCATGACGGGACCCCGCTCTCGAGCCTTGGTGATGCTGGATCGGCGGTAGCATCTGGAAGGCCTCGTCGAGGTGGGGTCGAGCGCGACGGGGCGAGATGGTCTGCTGGCGCGGATCAGGAGAGAAATCGTCAGCATCAAGAGTCTCTGGTGAGACACGGACGTAGACGGTCATGCCATGTTCAAAGTTCTCGAAGCGCGCAATCAGCGTGTTGCCGTGGCGGTCCTCGAAGATGACGCCTCGACGTTCATACAGACCGTAGAAGTTCTTGACTGTTGTGATGATGGAGTCTGTGGTGTCGTGAGGGTATATGTCGACCCGCATGGGTAGCCGGGCCTTGTGTGCTGGCGACTGAGGGAGCAGCAGCTCGAAGCTGACGTGCTTCTTGGGCGTCTGCTTGGAGGGCGACAGGGAGTCGTGCGCCGAGCCGGTTTCGGTGCTCGGGTAGACGTCCATGATGCCAGAGTCTTCTCTCTGAGGCAGCATGTCGTAGCCAGACTCCATCTGCATGGCGTCGTGGTGTCGGCCCGCTAGGAGCTCTTCCACCTCAGGGCAGCGTTGTGCGCCCGCAGGCCGAGGTTCCGCAAGCATGTTGGAAACTTGCATGCCAATGTCTCTGGTGTTGAGAGTGTATTCCAAAGCCTCTAAAACGAGCTTGTGTATGTATGTGTGGTTGGGCGGCGCACCGATCCTGCCGGTGTCGCAAGGGCTTGGACGGACGGCGGTCGGGGAAGGATAAACGGGCGTCGAGTCTGGGAGGTGACATGTTAGCAGATGGTCGCTGATGAGGTTTGATGGCCTTCCGAGTGCTGCTCGCGTTGTTCTGCGCAGCCTGTGCTGGGCTGGAGGCGGTTGGGGGCTCGTCACCGCTGGCCAGTTGCGGACTACAGGGAGAAGGTGACGACAGCGCGGAACCCCCAGGGGGCGGCGTCGCAGTCACCTGTCGGGCCCAAGCCGGTCGCAAAGGCCTATGGAGAGATGTACTTACCAACAGATATGTCTAGAGCGCTGGATGGGCACTGGATGCTTCGATCCGATTGCGTGAGTGTACCGCCGCTGGCTGCGCACGTCAGGTTAGCGACCGGAATGCGCAGGGCAGGATTGACTCTATCTGAGCGCCAGAGTGCGATCTCAGACGGGCCACAGGCTTGATGGAAAGGGTTGAGGCTTACAGAGAGGAGGTGGTGTGGGACGGAGGAGAATGGTGTGGAGGGTGGGTTGCAGATGGGAGATGTTCGCAAGCGAACAAGAGAGACACCGACTAATGACCACTCCAGGTCACGACGTACTTTCCAAATGCGCCTCAAACCAAATGGCGGTCGCCTTTACACACACTTCCAGAATCTGCCATGTAAATTTATACCATCAAAACGGTTTAAACAGTACAGCGCATCCTCCCCGCTGCACATATGCGATTGCGCCTCCATTGGTAACTAGTATATACACTACTACACGAAACAGCCCACCTCAGTCCTTCAGTCACGCAAAAAGACGAAGAGTGCATGGCAGCTGAGGAAGTCCCCAGCTTTCGTCCCATCTGGTGTGCCTGTCTTTGAGGTCGAAACATGGGACAACTCGGCGGCAGCTATGCGCCCAATGGTAGAGGGGGACTAGAATGCATGCCACAGGACAACTCAATCGCTTGTTGACTATACCTGCGCAAGAGAGCCGATCTCAACAGGTCAAACATGACCAATGGGCGGATACGCGGCGTGCTGGTCGCGATGCGTACGTTCCATGCGAATATGGACAGGACGAGCTTTAGCACCCTGATACCCCGATGCGCCATCTCGAGCACATAGAGTACTCGAATACTACACTCCGGGTCGCCTTCACACAGAATTCTAGTCAGAGGGCTAAGGAAGCTTCCGGTCCCGAAAGTGGGTGAAGCGCTGTGGATTCGTTGGCAACTGGTGCCGGGCGTCTATTGGAGAGATCTCCGTGTGACACTCAATGCCACACGCCTGCTTCCGTAGTTCCCCTTTGCAGACAACCGTCCCTGAATGAGTCGCCACAGGATTCCCTAGAGGCTCGTGCTACTTATGAATTACGCGACCAAGGAATTATGTCTACATGTGCTCCCGCAATCGTCTGATGATCTCGGACCCACACTTTCATGACGATGGTAGCGCAAGCGCAGGAATCAAGCCGCGGATAGTCTACACACCCGCTGTGGTGTAGAAGCCATGCGTTGACCGGATTATCGCCGTTTGTTATCTTGCTGCTCAGATTCCGACCCTGCATGTGCGCGAGCGGATCATGGCGAGGGTACACATGTAGCGCGGCATGCGACTTCGCAAATCCGTGGCGTGAAGCTCGGACAACCACTCTAAGTGATGAGGGGTCGATCAAGAAGTCT